TACAACATTGAATCAATCCAGCCAAACTACTGCTGAATCTAACAAATCATACTAAATAAGGGAAATAAACCATCCAATAACTCTAGAACCACCCAGGAGAGCACTCATCAGAAGATGTTTGCTTTGTTCTTGGGAGGATCATCTGACCAGACACAAAATGGGCTAGCCAAACAGGAAATTGGAAGCCGAACTCTTTCTCCTATTGAGATTTATGTGTAGAAAGTCCAGAACAAAAGTTAAGAACATTTTCTGAGGGATGCTTATCCCTTTTACCTCATCCACTCATAGGAATTACTTAGGGAAGAGGTAGATGGGCCTTAACTATTAACAATAGCATAAACATATATATGCAATAGATATTTTGCAACAAATTGACAAATTATGAGGATCAAAGCAAAAAAAAATTCAAGTCTAAGAAATAGATGGGAACCTACATCATCTCTTTGGAATAAGGACAGTTTAATACCCAAATCCATGCTATTAATTAGAGAGAGTAAATTAATGCACATCATTTTTTAGGGGAAGCTTAGCTTTGAAAACTAGGGATTCATAAAAAATCCATTGAAAACTCTTCTTCTATTCATGAAACAAGGATGTTTCCATCCCTTTCCATGTTCACAATGATTGAGAAGAGAGAGTTCAATGCATTTGGTATAAAATCTCTTATTTTGCTTCCAAAATAATTAATAAAAAGGAAGAACACAACTTTTTCAACATCAAATCTCAAGGATCATCCAAGAAATCCTGTGAAACAACCCTTAGCACTCATTGATATTGAGTGAAGAGTTAAAACACATGGATCATAGTGCTTAGAGGATAGAAATGTGAAGAGAAAGTGTGCAACAATGAGAAAAAATATTCTACATAGTAAACTTGTGAATAGATGGGTAATTTCTACTCCCAATCACATCCACATGGTTCAAAAATATGCAATAACAAGAGGCTTTAGCTGGGGAAAGCAAGAAAAGGAAGAAAGACTATCAACTCAATGGATGAGTAGCTAATTTCTACTCCCTCCACATCCATGAGGACTTATTACATTTTTAAAACAGTTATAGCACAAGATTAGAGTTAGAAATGAAGAAAAAGAGGGAGAAAAGTAATACAAGTTGTAAGAGTTTCACCTCTTGAAGATGACGAGTTCCTTTGTTTACCAAACTCTCTCTTGATCCCCTCAAGTCCTTTTAGATATGTTTTAGAATGTCCAAGTACCTTATCAAGAAGCGTAGGTTTAAGCTTCGATGAAGTTTTAGTGCTAGAATGTGAGGGTAGTAGGTAAGAGATGAAGGTGAAAGAGAGAAAAGAGTTAAGGGACTTGTAAATGCTTTGGGAAAGATTTTTCAACCCTTACAAATAAGTTGTCGAGCTCTATTTATAGAGCCTCAGGTGTAAATATTTGAGACATTTATGGAAAGTGTGTTGAAAAAGCTAAAATTTCCAAAAATACTCTATACTCGGACAATTTAGCTGACCATTCCCTTTGATGTCTGCCCACATGCATTTTTGAATGGCCATCATGTTGTCTGGCTAGTCAGAAAGTACATCGTTAGATCAACAAGGAAAGGTTAGCCTGAATTGAGAGGAGAATTATGTATTTTAAAGGAGTTCACCTCTTTCATTCATTCCCACTGTATTCATTACTCAATTTGTTTGAAAATGTGTGGTATTCTAGTTTGAGAAATAATGAGCCTCGGGACATATTGGTAATGTTTGAAACTGCACAACCAATCACATTTTGAAATAGAGTCTCATTTGGTCAAAAAGCATTTTGGCCAAAACAAGTATTGGGATGGTTTAAAACTTGCATCTTAGACTTCTTACTAAGAGATTCATAGGACTAGCACATCTCGTTTTCATTATTGGGTACCCAAGAGAGAGCACTCAATTTTTTAGACTGGTAAAAATTGGGGTGTCTACTTTTAGCCCTCTTTGATAGAGCTCTATGCGTCATTTCATGAGGTGAGTGAATGTCAAAGTTCGAAGATGGCCTTTTTGATGAGACCGTAAGACTTGGGCAAATAAACAAAATGCAAATAAAATTTGGTTGAACCTGAGGGTTACCTACGTATTCCTTTACAAGGAATCAAACCAGCGTAGTTCAGGGACAAAATGAAAAAACCATGCTCGAAATATATTTGAAAAATTGGGCTTACATGCCACACGTTGCCGAGATTTGAGAGTTGAGCTTACGTGTACCATACTGTCAGATTTTTGAAAAGCTTGATGATGCAAACGCCACAGAAGGTGACGAGGTGGAACAAGGATAAAGCTGTAAAGATGGCAAAAGAAAGAGGAGCATCTTATGAAAATGATATTAAGCAAGCTAACAACTTTGGAAAGGATAAAGAATGACACACAACATATACAAGCATGATCTACATAAATAAAAGAAATGCAGAACCTAGATGTGTTGCAACATAGGGGGAGATAGAAAAGGATGGCTGCGGTGAAAGTCGTATATAACCAGTAATCATAGTAATAAGGAATTCCATAACACACTCCAAACACATGCAATGCGAAGAGAGAAAGAACGACATTAACCATCAACCCAAGATATGGATGATATTAACCAAGGATGGTGTTAACTGCCAACCCGTGCAGGGGACGATATTAACCAAGGGTGATGCTAACTGCCAACCTGTGCAGAGGATGGTATTAACTGCTTGTGGTGTTAACCGCCAACCCGCACATAAGACAATATTAATCGAGGGTGGTGTTAACCACCAACCCGCCCAGGGGATGGTACTAACTGAGGATGGTGTTAACCGTCAACCTACGTAGAGAATGATATTAATAGAGGGTGGACAACCTAAAACACCTCGTATGTGTAAAGGGTGATTACAACAACAGAAGCATCATGCCATTGAGGAAAATGTAAGAAAAACACAACACAATGGAAACAAACTTTCCTCTTTACTAGAGGCACTGAACGACCGTATACCACTGAATAGCAATTGAACACCTCTGAATACCTTTAACTCAACATATGGCTGAAGAACTTTTGGCTGGATCATAAACTGGCTGACCGAATTCAAATGTAGCTGGCAGGCCATATCAGGCATCTCCAAGGATAGAACTGGCTTTTCATATCTTGGAAAGTTTATAAAAAGGTGCGACTATCCAACTTCTACCCATCTCCTTTTGAAAGCACATCTTGAACCATTTCTGATCAAAACCCATGGACGATGACGGTTTCCTTCCCTTTCCTTTCGGTTCTCCCATTAGTTTTGATGAACCTAACACCCCGAAGAACATTAGCAGTTCCTCCTGGAATATTGTTGTCGAAGCAAGCACTATGGCCAGAATCGAGAATGTGGGCTTCAAGCTGGCCTATGCGACCACTTATGCAAGGAGACACGATCGAGGACGAGCTCATGGTGGTAACAGGAACTGTGGACGAGCAGCAGGTCATGAGCCTATTCAAAATTGGGCTTGTGGTCAAGATTGATACTACATGCCATGCCAGGGACTTGGAGTGGGTAAAGGTCTAGGCCGTGTGAGAGAATGAGAAAAAGATGAGGACAAGGACGAGGACGAGGACGAGGCCTTCCACCTCTAGGTCCATTGCTCCATATTTCCCAAACTTTTTTGATGAGGTTAGTTTCTTCAACACCTAAAGCTGATCTTTTCCTGGATTGCTTGTATACATGCTTTTCTGTTAATGGTTCTCACTTTTTCTTCTTTTTATAGGATGATGGGGTCACTTTTCCTCCGGGGGTGATTGTTATCAATAGTCATGATGACGAGGAGAGTGATGAGTTCGAAGGCTACTTCAATGACCCTCACCCCAATACTAGTGACCCTGGCAGTGATCTTAGTCCATGTCTTTGACTAGTCATAGTTTTTGTTATCCTTTTAGTTTTGTTGCCCCTTGTATAGTTTGTTAGATATAACCTCTTATGCCTGGGCAAAGAACATCTTTTGTAATCACTTGGTTATAACCGAATTTGCTATTTTTGGCTTATATATAAACTAATACTTTTTGCAAATGGATAATTCTCGACCCTTCTCTCGTTTCATATGTGAATACATATCTGAACATACACTTGAACATACATTGCCATTCTGAGATCTATAACACAACACTTTATCTCTTCTAGTTGAAATTGGACCCAATTACACACTGAAGCATATTAAATTATTCTATGAAGATTTCCTAGATTCTGCCAAACACAATTATGACTGGCTGATCAAACAAAAATATGGCCAGCCTATTCGGATGGCCTTTGAGGTAGCATTGACTTTTCAACTTCTGATAGTTTACGAAAACGTGTCAAACCATTTCAAAGCTTTTTATGGCCATTTCGCAACTTCTCTGAGTACCCTTACTACACTCCATTTCTTATGGCTGAGAACACTTCTCCTCCTCTCTCTCTTTTAATTCTCCTCTTAGGGTGGGCTTTTCCATTACCCAGATAATAATGGATCCTCTGATGACAGCTCCGACGATGCCATAGTCCTGGACTTGGAGCTAGAGCATGGTGGGAGGGGACTTGCTCGTAGAAGTAGGGATAAACCATTGGTCGTCTCCAAAGAAACCAACAACAACGATGGAAGAAGGGTCCGAGACCAAGGCGAATCATACAAATGATCCATGAATTATGTGTGGGCTCAAGGCTGCTTCCATAAACTCAGCTCAGTACCAGGGCATGGGTATCGCCAAGGCCCTTCACGTATGGGTTTCTTTCTTCCCTACTTTTCAAACTTTATGGAGGTGTAACAAGTCCGCGGGGGACCTCGCTACAGTTCGGACTCGATTTGTAGTCACGGTTCTAAGTCTGAACCAAAGAGTCCAAATCCAGCAAATCGTTTTGAGAAAACAGATTTTGAAAGAAGTGCCAAACACGGACTGCTTTGCCAGATACAGAGTCGCCACCTAAATATTTTTTAATGGGAAATTTAGGAAACCCTGACTCGTTGCCTAAGGCCACGTGTCCGTCATCACCAAAGTTGCCTCGGCTCGGGAACTTGGGTACGATTGGGGAAGGTCACTTTTCTGAACGAGCACATTATGCAACATCACCAAGCGCTCAATCGGTGACGTCTGAGTCTCAAGGTCGGTCAAAAATGGGGTGTCTACAGGAGGTTACTTTTCTGAACCTTTTTATTTTTGTCCCATTAAATACCACTGCTCTTCATTCTTTCTCTGTGAATAAATTTCTTGGTCTTAGGACGAGGACATGGAGCTTTGTCGACCTCCCATTTCAGATTCTCCAGTGGTGCGTAGCAACGATGAGGACATCACAGAAGTGATTTTTGATGCTGAGGGAAATTTTGACAACTGAGATAATTCTGGTAGCGATGACGATGCACCAGGGGGCCTCTCATTCCTCCTGAAGCATTGAAACCTCTCTCTTGCGACCTAGATTAGTCTTAGGCGTGTCTTTTCCTCATGTTGCTCCCAAAAGGAAAGAAACACATCATCTATACATATAGCATCGACCTATATGATGATGATTAGAACTTATGTATAATGAAGCCACCCCTTGTTGAATATTGTTAACTGAAATGGGTTAGAAACCTTAGCTTGAACTTTTTGTAAAACTCCCCTGTAAAATACAACTCTTTTTATGTACAAATTGGACACCACTATTGTTTGGTTTATCTGAGCTTGATCAACACTAATTCCTTCCCCTGACAGAAGCAAATAACATTTGAGCAGAAACAGGGAGTCTGCTTATACAAAAGAACTGAGCTGGTCCTTTCTTTTGGCCACCAGACACAAAACTGGCTAGCTGAACAGGAATTGGTTTGGTTGGCCATATAAGGATTTTCAGGGACAATTTCTACTTCTTACCTGCCAAAATGTTTATAAAATCAACCCAACGGTTTATTTTAATCCTACACCATTCAAAACACTCTCCCTCTACTTCTCACTTCATCTCTCTTTAGATTTTATCCTTTCCTTGCCTTTCCAACCAAGCCACTTCCATTTTTCCTCAAAATTGGCCACTCTTTTTACATTTTGAACTAAAAGGTTTGTGGTTTTTTTGAGTTTGAGTTTTCTTACTTTCTCTTACATGTTTCACACGGCTTAGGCCAAGCCTTCTTCCTCTCTCTTTGGTTTCTTACATTTCTATTAGTTTTTTGGATTTCGGGCGACCTGTGTTAGATTCTTTTGATTTCTTCCTCACTCTCCTACAGTTTTTGGTTACCCATCCCCCATTTCTTCTCATGGCAGCTGATATTTCCCATGGAGATGCTCCTCATGCTATCCCAGATACCGACATGCCTCCACCGGCCTTTGAGGCTGATGTCCACATAGACGCAGAGGATGTAGACGTCCAGATGGATTCTTCTGACTTAGCGGCAGAGGATATGATTCTTTCTGAACAAGAGAAAGTGCTACCATCATTGCATCTAAGGCTCGACTACATATCACCCTTATGTTCACCATTTGATTTACGGAAGCATGCTCACATTCGATGAGTTTGAACTGTGAGTTGCCCTAGATGAGTTGCTCTAAGAGAGATGGGTGCACCTATCCCATAGTGCCCCAGATGGTAATCACTAATTTCAAATTTACACATTCCTTTGAAATTTCATTACTGATCTATCACTGTATTTCACTAACTAAGATTCTTGCAACAGGATGACAATCGGTAGATGAAGGGATATGGGACAGGCCTGCACCCTCTCGTTGGTATGGAGTTCTTTCTGTTGGAGTCTAGGCTTTGATGGACCAAGCTAGTTTCAGTCCATTTTGCATGCGGATCATCCAGCTTCAGGCCACTCGCTCAGTTTTGAGGCTGATGTCCACATACACGCAGAGGATGTAGACGTCCAGATGGATTATTTTGACTTAGCGGTAGAGGATATGATTCTTTCTGAACAAGAGGAAGAGCTACCATCATTGCATCTAAGGCTCAGCTACATATCACCCTTATGTTCACCATTTGATTTACGGAAGCATGCTCACATTTGATGAGTTTGAACTGTGAGTTGCCCTAGATGAGTTGCTCTAAGAGAGATGGGTGCACCTATCCCATGGTGCCCCAGATGGTAAGCACTAATTTCAAATTTACACATTCCTTTGAAATTTCATTACTAATCTATCACTGTATTTCACTAACTAAGATTCTTGCAACAGGATGACAATCGGTAGATGAAGGGATATGGGACAGGCCTGCACCCTCTCGTTGGTATGGAGTTCTTTCTGTTGGAGTCTAGGCTTTGACGGACCAAGCTAGTTTCGGTCCATTTTGCATGCGGATCATCTAGCTTTAGGCCACTCGCTCAGTTTTTATTGCTTTTTATGGAAATGTGGTGTGATACCACCAATTCCTTCCACTTTTCTTCAGTTAGGGAGATAAGGATGTCCCTGTATGACTTCTCCATGATCACAGGCTTTAGGGTAGGAGGCGATCCCATCTCCTTTGACTCAGACATAGGGTATTAGAGCACAGCCCGGGTTTACTTGCTTGGGGCCATTCCCCCAAAGGATAGCCCGAAGATCATCCGATATAGCTAGCCTTGTTGAAGTTTTCTTGGCACACATCCCAAGACCCCAGAGGCCATAATCCACTATACAAGTGGCTTTCTTCTTTATGTCGTCAATACTACTCTATTTGCGAACAGAGAGAATACCATTGGATTGTAGTTTCTGAGTGCTATAGTGGATATCCTTTAGATAAGAGAGTACGATCGGGAAGGTGCAGGTCTAGCCACCCTATTCAGTTATGCAAGCTCATCCTCCTACCATAAGGCAAGACTTCTTGAAGGATACTGGTAGGCATGGGAGGTACATTTTACGCCTTTTAGTTCACTTCATCACTGTACTTTTTGTCTTGCACATTATACTTTACTCTGATCCCTGCTTCTGACTTCTGTTTGATGTTATTCCCTTTTTTGTGCAGATATATGGGTACTCTTATTTCCCTGACCTTGCCCTAGTCCTAATGCATGAGATTGATTGGGCGATGCCTTGATCTCTATACTTTGACAGTGCCTTCCAATTACGGGATTGCTAGGATTGCAGTTTCACCAATTTCTGCTACTAGTTTGACATCGTGACTCCTGCTCAGGTAAGTGAACCTCAAGACTCAATCCCAGTCCTATTTTTAATTCCTTTATTTCCATGTGTCACAATTTGATGTCTTTTACACATTTTGTACTTGCATATTGAATGACATCCTTGGGTTGCTATGCCCTAGGCTAAAAAAGAGTGATATGTCAGATCTTGGGTAGCTTCTCGGATGAGGATACTTTTGGAGGGCCTCTATAGCAGTTCCTGGTTCCTATGAGAGCATTTTCTTCAACAAAACCATGGACTTGGTATTCTAGATGTTCTATTCCCACCACCTACTCACATGAGGACTGCGAATGTGATCATACACATGGCCGAGCTCGAGGCCTTGATGGATAGCCAAGATGAAGATTTATTTCATGGGTCTGGTGACTATACCGCCTTTTTGTAGTCCAACATCATACCTCCTATCACTCAAGATACTGCTTGAGTACTTGCTGTCGGTGTTGCAGTCACTATCCCTATTTCTGCTGATGCTTCTGCCCCTGGAAGTGTTGTTCCTACAGTTGTTGTTCCTCTAGTCGATCCTTTCATCGATTTTCCTACGCTTTCGGCTTTGATCACATATATGAGCCCAAGTAGTGCCCTTAGGGAGATCCGTTTTGAGCTTCTTGAGGACTAAGTGCTCACCTATGCCCCAAACATGAGACAAATATACCTTACCTCTTCCACATCTTTCTCGAATAGTCAAATGCTGCTTTTACTTTTCTTTATGCATGTTTTCATTTTCGTTTGTAGCCTTCTGCAATTTACATAGAGCGGTGCCTCCTGGTGATGAGTCGTTGGTCCACATGGTGCAAATGAGAGACTATGTTCTTGTCGCTGCCAGAGTGCAGGTATCCCACCTTGACTTGTTCTATTTTGTCCATTTCATACTTTCATTTTGATTTATTCTGATAACCTGCTCTCATTTTTGTACTTCTTGTTCTGACATTCTACTTTTTGTCAACCTTTATTTTATCTTGATGCGGTACCAGTGATACCTCATCCTACTGTAGGGAGAGGAAGAGAAGGACCCCTAGTATGAGAGAGATGTGTGGATCAAGGCCAATGTAGAGGTGCTCCTAGTAAAGGTAGATGTAGAGGTGCCCAGGTGGTGGAGAGCTCTTTCTCCTCAAAGAGGACTCCTACTACTTCCATGGAGGATGATGTTGTCGGTGGTGAGACCTTCGAGGATAGCGAGGTTAGCAGAGATGCAAGCATCAACATAGAGCACTCCGAGGGTAGTGATGTCGATGATGATGATGATGATGAGGGAGACAACAATAGTCGTAATGATGCTAGTGGTAGTGATGCTAGTGGCTCTAAAGATGAGAGTGGTGGTGGTGATAATGATACTGGAGGTGAAGAGGATGCTGAGGCCAGATGTGATGACATTGGGGCTGATAGAGATGATTCTGGGATTCCGTCAAAGGAGAAGACGAAGAGGGTGAGCCGATCTTGATTCCCTTTCCTTTTTTATTTTTCTTTTGCTTTGTAGTTAGAAAATCATGCATAGCTTCAAATATATATATTTTTTATTTTTTGTAAAAATTTGAAACACTTTTTAACCGGGGAAAAAAAGAAAAACTCTTGTTTTTGGATCATCTTGGACATCTTAACATGCATAGCACTGCACTTGAACACATAACATATTTTATTTTGAAATTGAAATTGAAATTGAGAATGGTTGGATTTAGACAAGTTCTAAATTTGATATTAAGCCTACAACAGACCAAAATATAAGATACAACTCGATAAACACAAAATGCAGTAAAATAACTGAAACACAACTATCTACACCTATTGAAATGAATAAGACTCAAAACAAGACCTGAAACAAAATCTACAGGTCAAACTGCTAAACCACACTATTTTTGAGATTCTGGGAGCTGGCTAGCTAAAAATTTATTCGGTCGAGCCAAAAGTGGCCATCTGGTTTAAGGTTCCAACTAGACAACTTGATATAGCTGTCAAGCACCCAAGCAACCTTGTCTCTTTAAAAGGTGATCCCCTATTGCTTCGTCGACCAGAAGTGGAAAATTTGAGGGTATTTGTCAGAAAATGGAAATTTCAAGTATTGTGAGGCTCCAAGACTGGATGATCACTTTAGATGGTGCTAATAAAGTAAACTTCATGGGATTCATCTTAAATGCCCTTTTTACTTCAAGTTATACTCCAATCCATTTCCTTTCCTTCAGGTGGCGACTCGTTTTTGGAATCCAATTACCTATGTGTTCCCCTTTAGTGTGCAAGAGCTATGTCTGACTATTGAGGAATTTCAAGCTTTAATGGAACTCTCCTGAGATGAAGAAAGCATGCCTTAACCCAATTTTGACCGTGCACAAGCCTTGGCAAGGATATGTGGTCTATTTGAGCGATGCTCGATCCGTGGCTCATAATGAAGAGCTAGATGTGTCTAGATTGATTCGCCAATATTTTGTCATTGGAGACCGAAGTAATTCACTTTGCATGGATGCCATCAATATGCCCTTTGCATATGTCTTATTTCACACTACTTGCTTACCTCTAGTGGTGATAGGGCTAGCATCAGACTTGTTGAGGTGGTCTAATGACTTTGGGAGGGACAAAGTTGTATCGGTTTGGTTTTAGCTGAGACTTTGACAAGTTTAGATGCATTTCACTGACATGAGACCTCTCAATTTGTAGGGAGTCCACTACTTCTTTAGGTACTGTTTCTTGCCCTTTCTTAGTTTATGATTCTTACATCACTCTGGCCCTCATTACTTGATTTTTCCCCTCATGACCCCTTTCTCACTTTTTCCGCTCAACATACATTTCAATAATCTTGAATCTATCTTATTTTTCATCCCTTCCTAGATGTAGTTGATGAACAAGTTGAAAGTAATGGCTCATTGTGCTCGGTACTCAGCTTAGGAACTACTTCTTCTGAGCCTAGGTAGTGGATTTTTCTTCCGAGGGTTTGCGGTGTGATTGGATGTACAGCGGGTCTGCAATGGACATTGCTTGGCACTGCGTCTAGCTAGACTTGCTTCCAATGACAGACAGTATGTTTCATCAGCTGGGTGTGCAATTAATTAGCCTGACATACTATGTCTTCTACTTCCTTTTTTGATTCAGGTGACAGTTCAAACATGATAAGACTCGTCTTGTTAATAAGATAGAGTATCCTACTACTTTTCCATTCTAGGCTAAACATTTCTCTCGGTATGCAATGCTTAGTGGATGAGGGAGATCTTGGCCTCTGCTGATGTCTTCAGTCATGCTCTTTCTAGTGAGAGCTTGCTTTGACTTGAGAAGAAGCACAGGTGGGTGCATCCTTGGTAGTAGAATCTTTTGATACTGAGGGGAGAATGCAAACAACTTTACTGGACTATGCCCCTAATTTATTGCTTCGACCTTAGTTTTTTGATGTAAAATGCTTTGATTAAAATGAGAGTTGGACGATCATGTTTGTTCCACTTTTACTCCTCTCTCTCTCTCTCTCTTTCTCTCTTTATTTTTTTGGCATGTAATCAAATATTGTAAGTGCTGAAAAGCTTCCTTTTAGGTCCAACGAATGGTTCATTTGCAATAAGATGTTTGAGAAAATCAGTCGATTTTGTTAAAAACACCAAAACACATGTTCGCAAATGGTCATTACCTAACATACCTGAAATCAACCCTCAAAATGCACAACCTCAAATCAACTCCTCGGATAGGACTCTCTGCACTTTCTCTGACTATTGTATTGTCAATTAGATTTGCCTTGCAATTAAACTCATCACAGAAATGAAGGTTTTGACAACAATATCTGGATCTGGCTAACCATGAATTGGTCAAACATGGGTAGGACAACCAAGTCAAAAATGGTTGGGGACGAACTCCAGAATGAAGTTGCCTACTTATCACAAAGATGGGAATCATGCCTTACATAGTTCACGGTTAAGGTTCACTCAAGTGTTAAAACACTCCTTTTGTATTCTAACTTTTACCAAAGTTGCCCTTTCGGTTTTTTAACCTTGCGAGCTCTATTCCCAAAAGAAAGCATCCAATACAACCACCCTTGTCACCCCATGATCCTGGTCTCCCATCTCCTTGACTTTGTTTTCCATTATTGTCTATATGGAGGATTAGAGGAAAGAATGCTTGAAGCTTTAACAGAATCAATAAGACAACAAAAAAGACAACAACCCTTGCCTCCCCCGCCTTCTCCATTACAGTTTGAGCTGATGAACAACGATATTATCTCATTGACTCAGAAGTTCAACAAAATGAAGCCACCAACTTTTCTGGGTGGTAATGAACCGTTAAAAGCCGAGACATAGATGCTAGAGACCGAAAAATTATTTGAAGTCTTTCCATGTTCTGAAGTGTAGGAAGTTTTGTTGGCTACTTATAGTCTGAATGACGAAGCCTGATGTTGGTGGATGTTAATACGAGACAGTAATGGGGCTTTGACTTGGAACAAGTTCAAAGAGATCTTCTATGCAAAAAACTTCCCTCAATGTTTTCGAGACTGGAAGGTGTAAGAATTTGAGCAGCTAAAGCAAGGGGGTATGTTAGTGATAGAGTATGAGGTGAAGTCCACCGAGTTAGCCCAATTTTCATGTAGCGATCTGAGTTTTGCCACTTCGCTGAGTATGTCAGGGGTCGAGTTGCCCGGTCAGCTCACGGGGGTCTAGGGGGTAGCGCCCCTTGGCGGGTCCTAGGGCAGCGCCTTGGCGGGGTTGAGGGGCAGAGCCCCCAAAACAAAAATGCAAAATGCATTTGAAGTTGCTTGTCCGCTCGAGCGGGAGAGCATGCCACACATGCGGATTTTAGGGGAGAGCACAACTTGCACACTGCTAAAAAGGTAGGTGCGGGAGTGAGGTGCGGTGGGTTGGTGAGATCCGAAATTTTTTCCCTTTTCTTCTCTCTTTGGGCTGAATTTGAATCACTTTTGTATATATCTCTCTCTCTAAAAACATTTCCTCTCCCTTCTCTCTACATTTCCTACCAAAAATCTCACAAGATCTTTGATTTCTTCAAATCCTTTGGGGTGCGGTGAAGATCGAGTTTGGACACCATTGATTTTGGAGGTTTCATCTCATTTCTTCTTCAAAACTTGAGGTAGGGATTTTCTTAGAGTTATATATATATATATATATATATTTGCAAGATCTAGATGATTTTCGAAATCATCATTCGATAGCTTTGAAAATTGATTGTTAATTCAAGAAGTTGAGCGATTTTGAAAGTGGGTTTGTCTTTTGTTCTTTTAAAATGATCTTATGGGTTTTGATCTTTGTTGATTGAAGAAAAGATGATTTTAGAAAGTTTTGTTTCATAAGATTGGAGTTGTATAGTTTTGGTGAGTAAACCTAAAATTTGGGGATTTTTTTTTAAGAGACTGAAAATCCATGAATGATATTGTTATATTTATTTTGTGTGTCAAAATAAATGGATGTTTGGAAAATTTCTTATTTATATTTATATAAATGATGAATTTCAGGGAATATGAGAATTGTTGTTCATTTTGGAAATTATTGTGCACAACGTTGAAATAGTCTTGAAAGTACTAATTGTTGAGGATACTTGAGAAGAGGGAATTGTGTTATTCCATGGATGATGAATTGGAATAAAAGTATTTATATTCATCTTGTGTTATTGGCATATCAATTTATTTGATTACATTAAACTTTGAAAGTTGATTTGAAAACTCGCATTGAGAAAAGAATGTTGAGAAACAAGTTTTCATGAATTGGTTTTGGGGGAAATACGGTGGTAAGTCTTGACAGGTGGTGTAGATGAAATTGAATAGGTGCCGAGTCTTCCAGTTAATACTAGTAAAAATGACAGATTATCGGTGTCGAGCTTTCCAGTCAATGCTGGTAAAAATGACAAATTGGTAGTATTTGTATAGTCTACTTGCAGACACTGACCTAGGGATTACCATAATCGTATTCACCGCCTTTGAAATAAATTGTTAAGTTTTGAACAATTGAAATTGCATGATATCATTGAGCATGATAGTTTTCAAAAGATGAAAATGTGATTTATCTTCAAAAAGGGCATAGCATGGCATGTGCATTTCGTCTCTTGAGACTTGTATAAAATGTATATACTTTGTTAAGAATTTCCTACTGGGCTTTATGCTCACCCTATGAGATTTTTGTGCAGGAAAAGATGTGGTGATCCCACCCAACTAGGGGTGTGGAAGTATGTGTGTTGGGAGTACAATGCTCTCATTTTTGCTGTGACTCTATGTGTAAGCCAAGGGCTGTGTTTATGTGGGTTTGAATAACCGTTTTGTGTAACCCAGCTGAAGCCTGGGAAACTTGTAAACCCTTTGGGGGTATTTATTTGTTTATTTACTTCTTGTTGGATTAATATATTGTTGCATGAAGAACTATTGTATCATGTAATGTAAGTTTGGAGACTTATATTTGGTTTTCCTGGAAAGAGCCATAATTGTTGTATTATCATTTGGGCTAGAAATTTGGGGCATTACATTGCGCCTCACATGGTTTACATGGACTACAAGAAAGCTTAGAAATTTGAAGAAGGGCTTAATTTGGATGTGTTTGATCGAGTTGTCGTACTAAAATTGCCTAAATATGTGGATGTGCTTGATCCAGCTTTAATGACAGAAGCCAACTTAGCACCAAGGAAACAGACTAAAGCTCAAACAAATGAATGGAAAGGTAAAAGATTTGGATTTAATTTCAGAAAGGGTCGGTCATTCTCAAAGAACCAAAATACATGATCCTCCAACAGTTCAAGTCAAACTAATCGTACAACCCTTTCTTGCTCAAAATGAGTAAGAAAACACAAGGGCGCCTGCTACCGATCAACAGGTGCTTACTTTCAGTGTGGCAAGACTGACCACACGAGAAACGATTGTTCGCTTATGTCCCAAAATTCCAACCATCCTACAGCAAGTTCAACTGAATCTACTTTTGTACCAAGAACAAACATGAGAACTAATGCTGGCAAGGAAACCTTGAGGCAAGGCAGAGTGTTTGCACTTATGCTAGGAGATATTCAAAACACCAAATCTGTGATGTTAGGTACACTTTCCATTTGTGCTAAAAATGCGTTTGTATTGATAGATTCTGGTTCTACACATTCCTTTGTGTCGCGTGCTTTTTCCTGAAAATTGATTAGACCACTGGAGCAAATGAACTATGTGCTATTTGTATCTACACCCTTTGGGTGTTCTATGATGTGTGCCTACGTGTACCCTGCATGTGATGTTATGATTGGTGATATGCTACTATATGTTGATTTGATACCATTGGGAATAGATCATTTTTATGTTATGCTGGGGATGGATTAGTTGACTAAATATGATGCTATGATTGATTGTGTTGCTAAATTTGTTGTGTTTCGACCACCAGGGCTACCGAAATTTGTATTTTGTGGAAATGGTGTTGTACCCCCTTCGTATTTGATTTCTTTTATGGAAGCTAATAAATTATTGAGGAAAGGTTGTTGGGGTTACTTGTCGTAGCTAGTTTTCCGCGCTCCTCAGAGGGGTTAGTCTCCTCGGGTATGATAACCCTACAGTTTGGACTCCTGTGGTTCTGAATCTGGTTTCACAAGTGCAATGTGAAATAGATTAAACAAATAAGAGTCCAAATCTGGCAAATCTTAGAAAATCCATTTATCATTAGAGATAACAAAAATGGACTGCATCGCCAGATTTCAGAGTCGCCACCAAAGGCCCCTTGTCTGTCATAACCATAGTGTCTCGGCTCAGGAACTTAGGTATGAGAGGGGAAAGTCATGAATTGAGCACCTCACTCACCCGATCAAAGATCGACCTCTACTAATCATGATGTGAGTTTTATGTAAATTATATGCTCTTACTCTAATTATTATACTAACATTACTATATGAGGCACACAAGTATAGACTACGTCACCCACTTTGTAATGCTTTGGTTTCATGTTTGTTTGAAAAGAGTTTTAAATATGTGCTACTTGAAAAAACAAGCTCATACGCACATTTATCAAAGTCGTTCCAACTTAAGTGAAATAGCCTTCATCCACAGGCATTCAAACAGATATTTCAGACAAGCATGTAGCCTCATGGTAGTATGCTTGATATGGCAACACAAACACACATGTAATATGCTAAAGCAAAAATGCTCACCTAGTACTCAACCATGGTAAGCCAAAGAAAAGAAAATAATTAGAAAAATGCATGCGCCTAATATGCGAAGTGACTAATGCAACAAATAGAAAATGCAACCACTAGGTTCGGCTTATTTATCATGTCATATGGATCAACTCAAAGTGTGTGGTAATACACGTGTTCAAGTAAGTAGAAAATGACAATGATATTAGAATGGTGAGTTGAACCTTAATCCATGCAAAGATGGATACAAATCAGGGCAATGATATGAAATGAAAATAAATACTCTATGCAACCGCAGTAAGCATATAAAAGGGAGAAAGAAAGGGGGGTTGAAAGACATACAAATATTACAAATTTTCCCTAGCACAAGAGGGTTCAAATGAATGCCCTAATTAACTAATTATTGCAACACAATTAAATACATTAATTTATTTAACTATTACAAATTTGAATGAAAACAAAACAATTAATTAATTACAACATATGAATCTAAAAGCTATTAATCTAATGGACTCGAATGGGAGGCGAGGAACCGCGTGTGTACAACCAAGAACATCCTCCGGAAACCTCTCTGTTTGCTACTAGAACCTGCTCTGTTTATAGTCAGAAAATTGTTCTGTTTTGGCCTATATTTTGGCCTCAGGATCTGCTCTGTTTTGCTATAAAAATACCACTGCCTGTACAAAATAGGTAGCTGACCGGCCTAAGAGAATGGTCGGCTGTACAGAATGATGGCCGGCCGGCCACGGCTTATGGGGAATACCATATAGCAACAGAGCTGAAATAGAGCAAGACAGAGTATTTCCAGGAGATGTTTATCCTCTCTACTTTTCCCTATCATGAAGACGATCAAGGGAGGAGTAGATTCGATTCTCAAATCATCAATCATTGCAAATTTGTTGCATGATGATCTTAGAAGCAATAGGATAGAGCTCAACAAAGAAAACAAATAAGAAACAATTCCTCTTCCCTATCATAGAGTTACCTCAAGGGAAGGGGTAGACTTGCTTCATGAATCATCAAACATCACTGAAATAGTATGTGATGATACAAGACGTAATAGGTTTAGTATAATGTTCGATTGAACATAACCATATTTTGTTATCTTTTTACCCTTTACTCCAATTTTATTAGCTTTTTTTATTTTACCTTTTTATTTTCTTTTCTTCATTTTTGTCGAAAGGTGATGATTACGTCCACTAAGTCCAAAGTGATAAAGAATGACTTGACCAAAGAAATGAGCTTTTTAAACCCTTTTCTACGGGGGAAATTATAAAGGAAGAATCAAACTTATTTACAAGCGACAATGACTCCAAATCCAAACTCACTAATGACTATAATGAATATTTCCTTTATGATTTCCAAGGGTCTAACTAGAAAATTAGTCCCTTAGAAGTGATGCACCAGTGATCAAGGGAAGTGTCAAACGAAAGATTATGCTTAGCATAAGAGAGATGTAATGCCCTAGTAATGAACCTCCTAAGAGATTAAACCATTTAGCATGGAGGGTCTCTTTCTTATGCCTTGAGCTGTAATCTCTTGTTTGATACAACTCTTAATCAAAAGAAACAAAAAAAGGAGGAAGGTTACAGATTATGAATGAACAAGTAGGTGATTACAATGGTGTGAATATGTACATGAAATCAATAAAAATGAAATAAAAGACTATCAACTCAAATGGATTGGAAGCTATGACCTATACACCAAATTCACGAGGACTTACAATAACACAAGTGTAATATTCAAAGTATAAATTAAATAAACACATTAAATAGTCCCTAAACTCCAAAAAATAGTAGCTAAAACCAAAAGAAACAAAGTAGAAAAAGGCAAAGCAACAAGCTATGGAACAAGGCCTAAGGAAGAGTGGCTAACCGCTCCTCTTTTTGTGAGGTTTAAATCACATTTTAAAGCTTAAAATAGCTCTAAAATTAGTATGAAAACACAAGAAAAAGAGAGAGAAAAGATGGTGAAAGACTTCAAAGATTACCCATTTAAAAAGAAGGAGAGCTTCTGTAGAAATCCCATTTTTGACTGACCTTAAGACTCAGACGTCATCGTTTGAGCGCTCGATGATTATGCATGTTTGTGCTCATTTCAAGTTTTCGGCTGAGTGCCTTGCCTCTGAGTCTTTGAACTCTTTGTGTTTTGGCTTGGTTTGTGGACCAAGCCTTGTTTTCCCTTGCCTGGAGGGAGAAAGAGGTCTGTAGACCACTTTTTCCTCTGGTAGGCTAGTTTTCAGTTTCCGGAGCCTTTGGTCGAGCGCCTTGTCTTGCTTCCCTTTTGGTTTGGTTTTGAACCGAACCTTGTTTTCCTTTCCCTGGAGGGAGAGAGAGGTCTATAGACCACTTTTCCTTCTTGGAGACTAGTTTCTGGAGTCTTCGGCCGCGCGCATTGTCTCGGGACCGCTTAACGTTCTCCTCTTGGCTTGGTTTTCGAACCATGCCTTGTTGCCTTGGTCTAGAGGGACACTGAGGTCTAGGAGACCACTTTTTGTGGTCGTAGATCACTTTTCCCTCGTAGACCACTTTTGGTGCCCGTAGACTAGTTTTCGAGGCTTCCAGCTGCACACCTCGACCCCCCAAACTTTCGTCTTTCATCCTTTTTGGTTTGTTTTTGGTACAAACCTTGTTTTCCTTGCTTGGAGGGTGGAATAAGGGTGGGAGACTAGTTTCTCTCCCTGAAAACCACTTTTCTTCCCCGCCAGCCAGTTTTCTTCCCTGTAGACCAATTTTGGTGGTCTACAAGTGGTTTGCAGCTAGAAAAAGTGGTCTCCCACCATGCCACCACCTTGCTTTTTGTGTGCAGACCCCTCCTCCCCCTGGCCGACCATTTTTCTTTCTGGGAGACCACTTTCACTGGTCGGCTGACCAGTGTAAGTAGCTGGCTGACCATTTCAAGTGGTCGACAGCTTTCCTGCACCTTTTTGAAGATCTTTTCTTGCCAGCTGTGGCAGCTGGAAGGCACAGAAGCCATGGCTTGGAGCCCTTACCTTCCTCAACAAGCTTGTTGCTTGTTCTTCTATATAAGGGATGCCCTCTCTCCCTTCTCCAAGTTTAGAAAAAGTGGCTGAGTGATATACATATACCATCTATC